TGTGATCCGTGGTGGTGGACGTGGCCGGTGGTACGGGGCATGCGCGCGCATACATGACAAACGCGCTTGCTCAGCGAGATTGTGTGCGCTCTCCACATAGAGTCTTTTGCATGCCTCTGGGTGTACGTTTCCCCCTCTCGGGCTCGCATTCTTTCTGGCCGTTGCGACTGCCGGATCTATTCGGGAGAAAATAATAACCCGGGGGGATGAGGAAAGAATTCGGGTGTCATAAGAGGACGAAAATGAAAGATGGGAATCGATTCCAGGACATACATGTTGCCGGTTGAGTATGTTACCACTACACCACCGAACCCATGCCTTTAACAAACGAACTGTTCCATGCCATCCCTAACATATGAACAAGAGAGAGAGAAACATTTTATGCACATCTCCCGCTCCCGGTAACGCCTTCATCTTCGATTCCTTCGTTATCGCTCGGCGTCGGTTCCCCGTCCACAGCAATGACGATTAACGAAGCGCAGGGGCAGACCGAGAAATTCGGGGTGCCGAATGAAGCAAATGAAATGAGGGATACAAGGGCCCCCGTTCTTTCACTCTACTTTCCTAGTGTTTGAAGTTGAAATATGGAGACCGGGTTCTTCATTCCATGAATGAAAGAAAAAAAGGAAAATTCTTAATGTTGGACTTCGGTGGGTGAAAAATGAAGAGGGCATATCGTGCGTTCGAATGTGCCTGGAACAAAGCCAGAATACCAGAAAGTCCCCCGGGGAGCCCCCATGAGACAATGAGTGGACAAAGGTAAAAAGGGACCTGGCGGTGCACCAGGTCCCTTTTGACTCGATCGTCACTTCTCGCTGTTGAAAGGAAGGAACAAAGGCATCGAACGGTTATGAATGAGTGCACTTGCCAAGCTCCACATGTTTCATCGTTGGCCGTCACTTCGGGAGGACAAAGACCAAGCACATTTCGGCCTGCCATTAAAGCATGAGAAAAAGGGACCCACGTGACGTTAACGAGAGGATCCCTCATCGACGTCACGTGGATTTAGTCATTGTCTAGTAGACTAATGGAACAAATATTCAATTGCCGTCAGTACACCCCGGCGAGAGGCGATTTCACGGTCCTGCAAGCAACCTTCCGTGCAGTCGGCATCATGTTGCTGCTCCTGGTGGTCGCCGCGTTCGTCCTCGAGTCCGCGAAAGACTCAGGTGAGAATTTTTTTTCCCCTTACGATCCTACCCGCAGAAGTTCCATTTATTGTCCGAAGGACGAGTCTACCTTTGCGAAAAAAGTCCCATAGGAAACATATAGTCCCTTCTTATAGGTTTGTGAAACACGAAAAACCTATAGTATTCAATATCTTATAGGACTCCTGACCTATAGGATTCGCTGAGGTTTTTGGGGCTTTGAAACCCTAGCACTACAACTGGGATTACTACTAAATGAGATCACCACCCGTGTCAATATTGGCGCTGCTTTTCGCCATAACCCCGTAAAGGCAATTGTATCGTCAGTGCTAGTACTACATCCAGTATGTATAACTCCCAGCCCATGTATCTCATGGATGGGCATGGTGGCGTGTCCGCGAACTCAGTTGCTTCCCTAGAACGAAAAAGATAATTCTTCAGCCAGCCTAGGAGAATGGCAGGCAGAACATGCGTACACCATCTATTTCCTGAAACGTTTTACTTACCTATGTATAGGGTTCTCATAGAGAATAGGAAGCTTATTTCTGGCCTAGACTCCATGATTCTGTCTCGAATAGAGGGATAGCAAAGGAGTAAGTGTCCACGTTTAATTTCTTGCAAATGGCAGATAAAACCTGCTGCAAACCGGAGGAACGGAAATACCCTATTGTTGTGGAAGGAATCATCATGATCTTCAGAGACCACCACCCAACTATGACCCGAACGTGTTCAATCAACGCTTCATTTATGACCAGGGCTCCATTAATGTCCTTGGAAACGTTCTATTAACTGCTTAAATTGTCAACATTCAAAGCAATGAAAAACAGTTCAAATTATGCGTTCCTCCAACCACGTGAATTAGGCACTTCCAGGGAACCTGCTCAATAAAACTTTCTTTTTTAGTATGTATCCTATATACAATTACCGTTTCGGATAGGTTCTTTTCATCACTTAAATAGAATTCAGTCTAGGTAGAGCCCTGCTCACGTGGCTCGGATTAAGAGCCTAAATGTTTCTGATCGGTAAGATTGATGGTACTATCCTTCCTTGGCAGAGAAAGTCTGGTGGAGAGGCGTGGGGAAATTCAAATTCATAATGGAAGCTTTTATCTTATCATCAGCTATCTCTTATTCAGGAGTCAGACATTACCGTCGGGAATACCCATGCAGTGTATATAGATGTCTCTGGAGAGGCCTTCGCTGCCGCGAGAGTTAGAAGTGCTTCGGCCATCTTGGGACGGGGTCCCGCACGTGGGAGTGAATAACGTGATCGGTTGGGTCATGGCGTGGAAGTCCCCAGACATATAGCCGGGTGCAAATTAGTCTTTTTCTTTCCCACGCTTTCCCTCCCTTTCCCGGTCTTTCGCGGCTGCGCCTTGTAGGGTGCAAATCCTCGCGCCATTGGTGGATTCCCTCTTTTTCTACACTCTCCATAAGAATACCCCTTCATATGTGAGAGATGGTGAAGATCGCTGAAGTTATTATTCGTGCAGTCACCTTGGAAATTTAACCATCCTCCTATCGTTCGAGCCAGAGTTCTCTGGAAACTCCTTGGACTGGGTTACCTCTAATGACGGATTTATTCAAGAACTCGAGTATCTTCCGATCTGGTTTATGTGAAGGAATATCGGCTACATTGTGGAAAGTATTGGTGACTAATTCGAGCTGTATCAGGAATTGACCCGCTATAGCGACTACTTGGGCGCCATCTAACGTCGGTTATGCGAATCTTCGCTTAAGCCAAAGTCAGAAGATGATATTGATATGCTTCAGGAAAAAAAAATCTTAAACGTTCGACGAATGTCCTTCAAATGCAGCATGTTTCGAAACTAATAGGCTCTTTAATTGAGCTTCAAAAAGGTGCAAATTCTGGTACACTGGGTGTCCAAAAACCCCTTTTGAAAAAATGTGAACGGGACTGACCCATCTCATTTGCCCCCCACCCCCCACTTTCGAGGACGTTCCTACGCCTACGATAGGTGCAATAAGAAACCAGGAAGAGGCATGACAAAATGTCCCAAGTTCCATATGTAATGATAGCACACCTGACGGGCAAGCAGGAGGTCCGGGTTCAATTCCCTGCCGCCCCGGCCTTCCCGCTTTCGATACCTGAGTGCTGCATTCCTTGCATCAAGTTGCTCAGCAGGCTCCACGACTGTCCTATTCCTGAGCGCAGCATTCGCTGCCTCTTGCTGTTCAGCGTTCTGAGCGGCCTTACGCTCCCTACGTGCAGCTGGGTACTGTTCATCACTCATTCTAGCCATTAGGCCTAGCACCTACTAAAGCACCGATTTAGGCACTTCGCACCACAACTGCAGTGGTAAACGTTGTTTCCGCACCAGCACCAATCGTTTTTTATCTGCAGCGACTGCCTCATCGCCGTCCTGTGGGACCTCCTTCAACATTTCTTTTCGCGTTCAACCTCACCTCGCAAAAATCGCCACCATTTAGATGGGCGTAGCGGCACGTTTGCGCGACGTATGAAACAAAAAACTTACGTTATTATTTTGACTTCATCAATCGTGAGAACTCAAATAAATCGACCATGACATGAAACGCGAACAAGAAACCTTTTATGGAAGCGATTGCCCGAACCGCCACGCCTGATCTAACGGAAAACAATACATACAAAAAAAAATACTTTAGCAAAGAATGTATTCAAACGGAGAACTTGCAGTTCAATCAGTGAAAACGCGACACGTATTCAGTTAGTAGCACCCTCTGATTGACACAGCTGAATATGAAGTCTATGGAAATAGTAGTATGAGCCACTGCCCATGGCTCAGACTGACATGGCCCTATGGACCTGGAGCTAAAAGCGTTGGATAGCTAAGCCTATGGCCTAGAATAGCAAAGCCTCGTGGACATATCGCTTTGAGCGGTGGATGGTCTAAGCTATGGCCTAAAATGACAGTCTCGTAGGTCCTCGCGTGTTGGAGTAACAACCACTACAACCACCACTGCCGCAACTTTCAGGTTCTTCGAATTAAAGTATTAGATTCCTATATTTTTCCATAGGATTCCTATAGGAAGTTTCTAGGTTCTATAGGAATCACATGGAATCCGTATAGAAATTCGAACATCCCATAGGATTCCTATTTGTTCTTATCGGATTCATGTACATTCCTATAGAATTCCTTTTCATTTTCATAAGAGTTAACTTGATACGTGTTAGCGATGATGAACCGACCTATGTCTGCTCCTGTCTTCTGGCGTTGATGATGCCCGACAGCCAGGAATTTGACACAGGACTGAGAAAATAATGTGAAACTGAAATTATCTCCATCGTTTGAGTGATTCTCATGACGTGAACGCGTTTCCTAGACCCTTGTCGATATGTATTTACACAATAATTTATGCCTTTGAAATATCTAATAATTAATATTATTAAATTAATTAGTTATGCCTTGAAGAGCTGCAGAGTTTCATGGTTCGTTTTTACAGCCAAGGAAAATTAATCCTTTTTTTTGTTGCCGGACTACCATTTCCGAACTCCGCAACAATATCCGTACCCTGAACAGAATGAGATGAAATAGTGGATAATCTTGCCGGATCCTAAATCACCTGTGCATATCGTCCCATCATTACCATTTTGTGCCACCTAATGGACACGAACGATATTCTTTTCGCAGCCTGCGCCTCGACCACTTTCCGCCTGCTGAAACGAGACGCGGAATTTCAGCCTCTGTATGGAAGCGAGAGATTTTTCTTGAGAGTGAGAAGCTTGGTGGATTGCGGAGCTTATTCCCGTTCGCTCGGAATTCCTTACAATGCCTTCAACTGGTATCCAGGAAATCTGACGTGCGAGGCGGGGTACACTTTGATCACGGCCCTGTCAGATGAGCCCGGGGCGATGGCCTACGTCGATGGTTCGTCGCAGTTCGTTATGTTATTTTCTAGACAAATGCTCTTCGAGATGGATTTGAGACGATTTTCGACGTCTGTATAGCGTCCGTGATGTGTCACTCGAGTCCGCCTTATCTCATGGATCAAACGATGAATTTCTCGTACGGATGGGACGGAAGCCTGCCCGCACCCGTCTTCTCCGAAGCCTCGTACGATTGTCCGCGATATTCCCGCTGTCCGCCCCTCGTCCCCATCAGAGCCAAATGTACCGACCTAAACTATTGGGAATTCCAAGATTTCAATGTCAGTTCTCTGTGCTCAGGAAACCGTGAGTCGCTTCCATCAAAATTGAAAAAATGAATGTAAGAGAGAAGCAAACACTGATTTGCATTCCGATTCCCCCCAGCACGAGACTACGTTTACTCCTCGTACGACGGTCTGTCGTACAAACGCTACCCAGGGCCCTTGAATCGGACCGCGGCCAGCCAGGTTTGCTGCCGGGACGGAGCACGACTCGCTTCCGACACGAGTTACAACACCTTCAAATCCATCCGACTCGTCGCCCCCGACACCACCGAAGCCATTCTGCAAGGCGCCACCGACGAGGACGAGGAGGGCACGTGGATCTACGAGGACACAAGTTGGTTTCGTGCTCAGGTCCTTTGGAAAAAGTTTTCTTTATTTTTTTTTTTATTCTGAGAACATAGTTCAGGAAGTAGTTATTGCGCATCTGAAGTATTTCGTAAAGTTGAGATATGTTGAGATATAGCGTAGAGGCACGAGTTCATCTGGGTTCTCGGAAAATTATAATATGACTGTACCATATTATTAGAAAATGAGCAAAACCTCGAAGTTCTTCCTTAATAATGAAATTATTCTTTTTTTAAGGTGTTTTGAATCGAAATGATTCATTTCAAAATTTAAATCGTTGAGACCTGGCATAATAACTACTCCATGGTATAGTTTCTCGATCGCCTTTCATCAGACTTCTCTCGAAAATACTGGAAGAAATTAATGGTTCTCCCTACAACTGTTTATTGGTTCCAGATGGAAACTTCCTTTGAACCATTTAATGGTGCTGTAGAGAACCACCCAAGAAGGTATCACGTAGCAGTCTCACAGAAGTTGTCACTTGTCATCAATGTTGTCTAAAATATTGTTACTGTTCCGTGCGTTCTCCTCTACTGGGAATCACAACACTGAAGGTCAGGGCTGATACAAATCAGGGTTCATTAAAAAAACAAGGTACAGCGGCCAAAATCGCACCAAGGGGATAAAAGGGATAAAACCACGTCGTTGAGCGGTTAAGCTAGTACATAAACAATAGTCCTCGGCCAATCAATCGATGATCCTGGAAGATGACGATCGGGATATCTACACAATGAGACTATCACAGGAGCAGTAAGTAAAATAGATCCTAAGACCGCCCAGAGATGGCGCGGAAGCATCTCGGTGAATGTCTCATTTATGTAAATTGTCACATTGAAGTTATTGAATAGATAGATTTATGCTACCAGTCAGACCAACATTAAATGGAACGGGAAAGATTCGGAATTGCCATAAGTTGATTAAAAATAAGCGATTAAAAATGGTCAGTTGGGGAGAAATAAGGGACACCGGTGAGTTAGGCACCGGGAAGAGGAGTGACCTCGCAGGCCACCATCAAACGTCCGCCCCCCAACTCTTAACCAACTCAAGGTCTTAACGTACGCGTTCGCTGCTTGGGCAAACTGCCCAGAGAGAGTCCTCGACCCACTAGAACGCATCGAACGAGCTGCTGTAAGATACGCCTTCCGCCTTCCCACTCATTTTTCTAACTCATATACAGTGCTTATTAGACTATCGGTATGCTTTGTGAGTCCTCATCCGACTAGCATAGTGAATGAAAAATTGGCTGGTAATGTAGCAACCCAGTGTCTCAACCATCTGCCGTTTTTCGAGAGAGAGGGAATGCTTAATCAATTTTCATCTCAAACCGGGGAACGTCGAGCCACCAAATGTTGCAATAAGTGAATCTAAAAGTTGCCGTGTCCAAGAAATTTCAATGGTATTCAAGGCTTTCTGCAAGTAGAGAATACATTGACATCCACTACAACCACAACCCCCACCAATCATTCATCTAAAGCAGTGTTCGGGAACCTATGGCTCATGAGCCAAATTTGGATCGCGAGCAGAAAAGTTTGGCTCATGAGCCATGGTTGTTCCTCATTTTTCTCACGGGTCAAAGAATGCATTTGTCTGCTGCCAACTTCAGGAAAAATTCTGTTGCTTTGAAAATCTTGGGCTCACGAGTACTTAGCTTGAAATGGCTCACATGGCCAAAAAGGTTCCCGACCCCTGATCTAAAGGATGGCCGGACCAGTCATCAGCTTCGACGTCATTCCGACGATTCTTTTTGAGCCCCACGTCGAAACATGCTTTCCTCAAATTCCGGTTGCAATCAAAGAAAACGAATAACCTGTTACCCGCGAAACATATGCAGACCAAAACAGTTTCACGTCCAGTAAGTGCACCACAATCGGCTTGAATTTAATTCATTTTTGGCTCAGAATAAATGGGGATTCCGGATATTTTAGCGTCAAGCACACGATTGGTGCAGATGCTCTGGGTTTTTCAAGAATACAATTTGTATTTAAAACTTTTTTTCCCAAAGATGTTTTAATAGGTGCATTGGGTTCTTAGTGATTTTTTTTTCTATTATTCCTGCAGTGCGTTAAAGCACCCTGCAACGTCACCAGTTCGTTGCCCAGGAGTTTGCTTTCAGGAATTCCAGTCTACCATGACATCTTGGAAATATTTTCTCCGCAGATGAAGTTTCGAGGGTCCTCCGACCTCAGATTCCCTCGACAGTGGAATACAGAAATGCATCTACTCGAATTGGGTGGAACCAATTCCTAATTGTTTCCATTGCGGTCGACTCTTCCTCACAGCCTCGCAGCCTTTTATTTTTGTCGTCGCTCGGTTCTTTTCATGAAGTGCAGGTCGCACTTCGCAGAATTAAATTCATTGAGGAGATTCTGTAAAGGTGGTATTGATGGTCTTGCACCAAGAATGTGCGTGTGTTTCACGGTTCGGGGCAAAATGCACTTCTTTGGAGAAATCTCAACTTCACTGTTTGCACTAATACCGAGCGCAATACTGCGCCTCGCTCGCATCATCGGAAAGCACTGGACGAAAGAT